AGTGCTTTTCATTACGATAATTACAACGATTATTTAATTTGGCTAGATACGAGTATAAACAAGATATATTGGGCAGAATTTCGGGCAAGTAAGTAACCTTTAAATTGATAAAAGAAAATTGAATTTAGGTTGAATTTTGAGTTAAATTAAGACCATTAACTTTTTAAAGGCTTAAGAATTAAGGGTGAATTGGCAATCATTAAGCGCCAAGTATCTATTAATGGGTCACATAAAATTCATAGATTTGTTTATGATTGGGAGAAGAACGTTTTAATTTGGGTTGATGACTATGGAATCAGATCAGCAAAACTGAATGAAGGATCTCTCATGAATGTATGTTTTAAATATTAAAACGAGATATTAATTTGATTCTTCCTAGACATTTAATTCAACTATTTTCTTACTCCAACTGAACAGCCAAATAAACTTTACCGCAATTTGGATCCTTCTTATAATAGACTTGGATCTATCACTATCGATGTGGAGAAACGTTACATCTTTTGGACAAATATTGGTGTCGATCCAAACAGACCTTTTGATTTTCCTGTGTACATCGAGCGAATCGATATAATAGATGATGAACCGGAAGCCGAAAAAATAGTTGAAACGAACATCTTGCGTCCAGTTGGTTTAGCCATTGATACTAGAAACTCCAGAGTCTATTGGATTGATGGTTTATAGGTACATTGGAGTCGGTCGGATATGATGGAACCAATCGTATTACTTTATCTGAATCTTTGCCCTTCATAGATGAACTTATATCAATGGACATATTTTCAAATTATTTGTACTTCACTGATAAGGCAAACAGTACAATCCAACGCATCAATATAAACAATACAGTCAAAAAAGTTGATACATTGATATCTGTACCTAATGGGCCACCTACATGGGTTAAAATAATTGAACCGAGAGTAAAATTGTAGACCAGTTTTCCTCGATTGAGAAGTATCGACAATCTAGAATGTGCCCTAATTTCCTCTATTCAATGGCCTTTCTCTCTCCTGTTCAAAGGGATTTGATTCATGTATGCAAGAGAACAATTAAAAATAAAATTTTTTGTTCAAATGAATTGATCATTGCAAGAGATATGGACGAATCATATTTAAAGAAAAATGAAATTAATAAGATAAACTTATCCCAGACGAAAACATTGAGGAGTGATTCTGGTCGCGGTGCAAAAAGTCATGTATTACAATTTTGATGGAATGGATTAAAATATTCATCAACAACGATACAATCGATGCTTGTCTCACCATGAGCTCCTTCTCTTCAGTCAAATACCTATTCAAAATCATTTTGATCCTCAATTTGTGTAGGATTGGAAAATATTTTTTAGTTTAGTGACATAATGGTTCATTGTTGGGTGATTTTATGCCAAGTGACTTTCGCATTAAGGATTGCGACTTGAGCAACCTTTTAGGGACATAAAAATGAAACCATTCGTGTAATTGAACGATCTCTTGGATCAAAGGTTTGATAAAATCGCTTTCTAAGCTCAAACTTGAATTTCATTTTGTGCAGCTGTAGAATCACATTTTATTAATAATTTTAATATATAAAGTTTTAGTTTTTCTCATTGACAATGTTTTGCTTCATGAAAAATTTGAGTCATAAATATGGATTGAATTTAAGCCACATTCAAAGTGGTCGACAATTTGGTACACAAATTTGAGATAGTCTCTATGAAAAGTTACGATCTGGTTGATTTGATGGTGATATGAGTAGTAGGTATGATATACAGGCTGAAAGAGGAGGAGCCTATAGGGGAAGGGTTAGGGGAAAGAAGAGAAAAAAGGGAACAGCGAGAGAAGCTAAAGAGAAAAATAAGCGAAAAACTTATTTTTGTTTTATTGCCTTAAAGGTACTGACTGAAAGGTAATGTAAAACTTTTGTCGAATTTTTTCGCGTTTAAAATATACGTTTTTGACAAAAAATTTTACAACTTTACCTTTTAGTTTTGCAAAAGATGAAGAAGGCAAAGTTAAAGGTAGAGGTAAATAAGATGAAAAAAGAAAAGAAGAGAAAGAAGGCAAAGAAGGGAAAAATGAGACAAAAGGAAGACGGATTGAAAGAAAAGAAAGACGAAGAGAAAGAAGAGAAAGACCAAGAGAAAGAAAATAAGGCCAACTTTTTTTGCGTTTTTCAAAAAACTTTTATTATCATTATTATCACTATTATCATTATAAATGATTGTAAATAACTACGTTTACGACAATCTTCGACGTTTGATAGCCCGATCAAAATTGTCGTAGGCGTAGTTCGAGTTGATACTGCCCTCGTTATCAGCATCGGTTTCGTCAGATTCGCTCCGTGAGTGTGAATCTAACGAAATAGAAGATGAGGGTGGAGAAGAGTATAACACTTCTCCATCCTCTACAACGAGGGCAGTGTCAACTTTGACATCATTATTTTCATCAACATTTTCATCATTACCATCATCACCATTTCCATCATCAGCATCATTTCCACCACCATCTCCATTATTACCATTTCCATCATCATCATTATCATCTCGATCATAACCATCCAGGTCATCAATATAAGGTCGCCTTATGGAGGCTGTATGCAACACTTTGTTACTTCAAGAACAATACGGTTGTTGCGCCAGAGCTCTATTTCGTTAGATTCCCCCTCACGGAGTGAATCTGACGAAACCGATGCTGATAACGAAGGCAGTATCAACTCGAACTACGTCTACGACAATATTGATCGGGCTTCTTTCTCTTCGTCTTCCCTTTATTTCATTTTTTTCCTTCTTTGCCTTCTTTCTCTTCGTCTTCCCTTTATTTCATTTTTTTCCTTCTTTGCCTTCTTTCTCTTCGTTCTCGTCTTTGCCTTTTTAATCTTATTTACCTTCACTTTACCTTCTTCATTCTCTTCATTTTCTATGCTTTCTTCATCTTTGCCCTCCCCATCTTTGCCTTCTTAATCTCTGCCTACTTCATCTTCAGCATCCTTTGCAAAACTAAAAGGTAAAGTTGTAAAACTTTTTGTCAAAAAGTTTATTTTAAACGTGAAAAACATTTGTCAAAAAAGTTTTACAACTTTACCTTTCATCAATATTTAGAAGGCAATAAAACAAAAATTTGTTTTCCCCTTACTTTTTCTCTTTACCTTCTTTCGCTTTTACCTTTTTCTTTCTCTTCTTTCCCCTAACCCTTCCCCTAAAATGCGGTGTGATATACGGGTCGAGAGGCTCCTCCTCTTTCAGCCTGTATACCTACTACTGATATGTGTGGATTATCAACAGCTAATTGTCCATTAAATCAGTAGATCAGTCATGATCTGGGTTCCACTTGTTTTAATAACAACTGCTTTCTGGTTAATCAATCAAGAATAAGAAGTTTACCTCTTTTTGACTAACTTTTGTCATGTTTTTGATGAATTTTGGTTTTTCAAATTTTACACAAACATATTTTAATAAGCAATAAAGTACATTATTATTATATTTGTACTAAATCACAATTTGAATTTACTTTTACTGTACATTAACAGCTAGAAAGGAGTCGTTGACTTGACAGGATTGAAATTTAAAACATTACAAATAAATGAATTTGACTCAAAAATTGAATCAAAGTTTAAGGTTATTAATTAATGTCTGGTTTATATTTGATTGAACTGAAAAAGTCAGAGAGTCAAGATTTATTATGAAAAGCTAGTGTCATCTATGAACAGAGGAACAAAGTTTTTTAATCATTGTGTATTTATTAAATAAATTTTATTTATTTATTTATTTATGAGGGTTGACTAGCTGATATTTTCATTATGATTAGAAGACGGAGTCATCTGAGAATTATTTTTAGGCTTGAAATATTGACTTGATTAAACAACTAACTTTGCATTTTTATGATTAAATTTTCGTCAATTATTAATAGATCAGTGAATAAGTTAAATCAATAATTGTTGACCAAATGATTTAAACCTCGACATGAAAACTAAAATAAAGGATATTAAGGTTCATTTCTACCAAAACTGAGGGAACAGTTATCATCATTTTCATCTTAATCTTAAGGTAATCTTATATTTCTTCCCCCTTATTCTGGTAGAAATAAACCTTAACATTGATTTGATACACAAAATGAAAATGAAATCTCATGTAGAGCCTGAGATAGATTTCTTAAACGCGTCAATATCTGATAGAAGACTGAAAAATGCTGACTTTCGTATACATATTACTGTCATTGGATAATTGACGGCTCCGAACAAAGGGAATGCAGTGATTAAAGTAATTTTGCTTACCAATCAAAGTAATAAACACTCACATTG